TTTGTCAAATTCACATATGTACATACATTGTTATACATTTCAGTATAGAAGTAACATTTTTTTCTTCACTTATTTTTGAGGATAAATTTGATGAGTGCTTTTATAGCATTCTCAATGAGTTCATGGTCCCACTGTCCTCAACTTTTCATTTTTCACTCATAACTCGGTAGAATAAGAAAGTAAACTTTCCTTTCTCAACTTGTCCCCAATGTTCTAGTTTTTGTTGAATACATTATGGACATTAATAATGCTAAAATATTCTTGCTGTTACTAATTGAGTTTGTGGTACTCACCTCTCGATCACATTGGTTGAATTAGAAATCTTAATCAAGAGGTGATACATGTGTCAAGGTGCAAATTATTCAATAAGAAAGGTCTGGAATGCTAATTACTTGTTGCTATTTTTGTTGGTTCCTGGTCTCTTTTTTTCAATGCTTCTCGAGGGTCAGTTTTGAATTGGTGCATATAAGTGCCTCTATAAATTTGCAGGTGATTTTGGTGGGGCACGATTTTGGTGGGGCATGTATATCTTATGCAATGGAGTTATTTCCTTCTAAGATTGCAAAGGCTATTTTTATTGCCGCAGCAATGTTGACCAGTGGACAGAATACACTTGATATGTTCTCCCAGCAGGTTTGCCTTCATTATATCATTGTCAAATTAATGGAAATCCCTGTCTGTTTTTGATATTTAACAGGACTTTATGAAGAAATAGATTTTGGAAATCTTTTATATGCTTATTTAGTGTGCAGTTACCACTAGCATTTTGGTTCATCCCCGTTTGTGGTCTGAGGAAGATTATGGCACTCAATTCATCTTGTTTTATTTTAGCTCCCTATCATATGCCTTGAAAACAATTAAAATACCAGGCTTGCTTTTTTTCATCATCCTTCTTGTCCTGAAGCTTGGAAATAAAAATTCTTCATATGTAGGCTAAGAATTTCGAATTGCACAGTTAAGAGCAGAAGGCTTTTTCTTTCAATTTTTTTCTGGCGTATTTATCAAGAGCTTTAGAAAGGATCAACTTTTGGTAAATAAGTACTCTATGGATTATAGTGTGCATTCATCATAGAATTTTAGATATAAACATAGGAATTCCTGTTTCTTTTGGTGCTTTGCTCCATTTGCTTTGGTGGCAGTAGGATTATGTTGCCTTGCTATCTAAAGTGATCTTTACCCATGACAAAAGAGAAATTAGTCGAGAATCCCTCTTGGAGGAATGTAATAGAATTAAACCCCTAATTGGTTAGAGGAAAGGGAGAAATTTAGAAAGAAGTTATGCATTTCTAAATCACGAAGGTCCAAACCTTAAAGTTTGGGCCTTTTTCAAAAGCATTCATTAAGAGGTTTAAGGCTCATTATGATGTATAAAAATCACATTCTAAATTCATATATTTTTATGCATAAAAATATATAGTATGGTCAAAAGTGAAAAGAATATTTAGAAAATGAAATTAAAAGAATGGTATAGGTTTAAAATAATATACTGTTGTTTTTTGTATTTTATAAGAAATTAATTTTTGTTTATATGTAATTAAAAAACTATGTTTATAGGAAACAAAAGTTAGAAATTATTTTCATGTGCCAAGTAGAGTTTACAACTTTCTTGGTTGTTCTTGTGTAACTAATGCTAGAACATTTTGCAGCAGGTTCCAACGATCTAATGCAACAAGCTCAGATTTTCCTGTATGTGAATGGAAATGATCATCCTCCAACTGCTATAGATCTTGACAAGACCTTGTTGAGGGATTTGTTATTTAATCAGAGTCCTGCTAAGGTGCATTTAACATCTGTGACCTTACTTTTAAATTTAAATGTTACCTTACATACTCAGCATATAAGATATTTGGTGTGAAAGAAGCTGTGGTTTAGCACTTTAGTATGAAGATAATCATTGCTTCACTCTTATATTTTGGGGTGTGTGTATGTGGAGTTAACAAAGTGCTAAATGAGGAAAAAGTTTTCAAATGCCATTTCCATTATTTCGAAGTACTTTCTAGAAGTTGTCTCCAATATCAATTCTCAGTGAAACTAAATACTCAACCAATAATTTCAGTTTCTTTGAATAGATGCTATAGCTTACCATTTCTTTCCACTTAATTTCAGTGCAAAAGATGTCTCGGTCAGTAGGAGGAAATTGTTCTTGATGGCCAGACAGAATGAGAAAAGAGCCTTTTAGAGCAGTAGTAACTTCACCATTAATTAAATTTAGTTCGAGCAAATATACTTGTTGCTTAAACCTGTTTTAAGATCCTTCTAGAAATCAGATATATGTCATCCATCTACCATCAACTTCTTTCTTCCCTCTGCTTTCATGGGAGCATGTGGATGTGCATTTGCATGTGACGTGGATGGCATGTTGCTTTTCTTTTTCCTTCATCTTGGTTCTTTTTTTTTTTTTTTTTTTTTTTTTGTCTGCACCAGGATGTTGCATTGGCATCTGTTTCGATGAGACTAATCCCGTTTGCACCAGTTTTGGAGAAGCTATCTCTTTCTGAGATGAAATATGGATCTGTGAGGCGGTTTTACATAGAAACTCCAGAAGATAATGCTATTCCCATCAGTCTTCAAGAAAGCATGGTAAAGGCTCGGCCCCCAGAGGTGGTGTTTCGAATTAAAGGTGCTGATCATTCACCATTCTTCTCAAAGCCTCAAGCACTACATAAGTTACTGGTAGAGATATCAAAGATTGCTCCAACATGAAATAACATTTTAACTATATATGCCTACTTTAAGTGGCCTGAAATCGGGTTTTCTGGTGGAGGAGTCCCACTCGAGATTTATCAGTGATCTAGATACATCAACATACCAGAAAGAAAATCTTGTATCTGTAGCCCAAAAATGTTCATATTTCAATTTTTTTTTCTTTTTTTTTTTTTTTTCTTACTAAATCTTAAACACGGAGGATGTGGAGGAAGAAAATTCATTTTTAAGAAGTTAAAATTGGGGACAATTAAGTTCTATAGGTACGGTAGTGAAGATGCTTACAGCCTTGTGCGTGTGGCTACCACTGTTTTGGGATGTCTCTCAGGAAGCCGTGTTATTAGTGTTGGAATTTATTAAAAAGAACAAGAACAATAAGCCTCTAAAGATAATCATACCCTTCAGATAGATATTTATCTAGTTCTTTCAAGAAGAAACATTTATTAGTCCTATCTAGAATAAGTACTTTTTGTTGCACAAACATTTAGTCTCTTACCATTTGGCCTTTATGGGTAAAAGTTGTAGGTCTTTATTTTTGGTACTTTCTCTCAGATTGTTGTCAACACTCGGTGTTGGATTGAGTATTTTGGAGTCTGTTTTGATTTTTTTTATTTATTTTTCTTCTTCTTTTTAGGTTGCAACCAGCTTCATGGTATGTTGTATTATTTGAAGAACTCTGAATGAAACTAAATATTATGGTTCCAGGTCAAATTTTTACGTTAAATTTAAAGTTAAAAAACCAAATATTTAAAAGAAAAAACATGCGGACCAAATTAATTTAATTCAATTTCAGATTTTAGTAAAGACGCTGGGCCCTTCTTCTCCGGTGTCGGTGATGACCGACAGGGAAGATCTCTCCTCCACTTAAAATCTAAATCTAATAATTAACAGCCACATAAATACTCCTGATCTAGTTGTACGCCCGCCCAACCTCCCTCTGCGTAATCTCCATTTTCCTTTACAGTTGTGTGTAGCACCGTATCAAAACAACTGTCCACCCTTAACAAACCCAACCACTATTCACATTTTGCCAACTCATATTTCTATTTCCCCTGCCCTCTTTATAAATTCTTCCCTCCCCCTCCTGTTTCTTTCTCTGCATCATCCCCTTCCATTTCTGCTCAAGGTAAACAACACATTCATTCTTTCAAGTTTTTGTGTAGTGAATTTTAAATCCAGAAAGTGGAGGATTAACTTGTTTTCCTGATTGTGTGTTGGAATAAGATTAACCAGCCATTATGGGCCGTGGAGTGAGCAGTGGTGGTGGACAAAGTTCTTTAGGCTACCTATTTGGAGGTGGCGACATTCGTAACACTTCCCAATCTGTTGGAAACCCCAACCCACCTGCGGCTACAAATAATCAGCCTTCCCATAAGCACCTATCTGCTTCATCACCAATTGATAAACAAATTCCAGCAGGCATCCACGGGAACCCTAAGAATAATTACTACCGAGTAGACGGACAGAACTGTGGCAATTTTCTCACGGTATGTGTTGTCGACATTCAATTTCCTCACACCTAGGGGCTTTCTTTAAATCTTAAATGTGTTTATCCTCGTGTTTGAGAGTGCAGGATCGGCCATTTACCAAGGTTCATGCAGCTCCTGGTGGTGGATCTTCCCTGAATTACCTCTTTGGTAGTGGTGGGAACTAATTTTTCTCTCGCCGACATTGAATACATCATATGTGATTATAGAACGTAGTATAGTATGTTACCAGGGAATAGTTAATCCCGTCGGTGCTCAATGTAACTAGTTGTCATCATATTGTGTTTCTTCACGTGTGATCATGATCAAAACCGAGTGTCTATTTTC